TTCAGCAGTTCACCTGGATTTTGTAGAGTTGGTACAATATAATACAAAGATTAGCGGAATCATGCGGTGACAGGGAAGCTGATTGAAGGTTATCAGCTCAGGTGCATGGACAGGATTGCAGCCTTTAGCTGAGAGCTCTTGTTCCTGTGAAGAGGCAGAAGCTACAAGTGAATTCTGGCTAAAGAGGATTCTACCTGAGCTGCTGCTATATGGCTGGGCATATCCTTCCTGTAGGAAGTGAATGCCATACCTTTTACATAAAACCCTGAGCTAGAGAGCTGGTATAATCAACTAAAATGGACAATATCTTGCTATATATTTATCGTTGGGTTGTGGGATTTTAATAGTTCATTAAATTTACATTGCTATTTTGTGGATGATATAAAAAAATGACTGTGACCTGGCCAGCACAGGAGCTCTAACACAACTATGGGAGAATGAGTTGAAATCTAATCTGGCTCATTTGTTATCAAGGAAAGTCCTTGCTGTATTTTAAAGTGTTCAGTACTGAAGCTGAGGCAGAGACCAGAAAGGATATATCCAGATTTTCAAACCACATCTTGAGTTGGCAAAATTGCCTTCTGATGGAAAAAATATTTTTCTTTTAAACTAGTCAAAACTGACAAAGTGTGAAAGTGATAAAGCAGTAATAAATACAGAATTCACACTGCTGCTTAATTGTTTTTCAGTGTATACTTCAGTATATATCTCAGCATCTAATATACTTCAATGCATGTTACTGTAATAAATTTATTCTCTATATCATATTCCCCCAAAATTTTAAACTAAAGGAGTAGGCTTATGAATGGTAGGGAATTCAGAAAGGCTGTGAAAGGTGAAAAGATACCAGTGAAGTGAGAAGGTGATAAAAGGAAGCTTTTCAAATTTTCAAAGCAGGTACAACATCTGTAAGTGGCATAGAAATGTCTTGGGTATTTACAGTGGATGGTCTTAGAGCGAGGGAGGATTTGTTCATGGCTCCAGAGCTTTTACAACATTTTGATTACTGTTGCCTTCCCTTTTTGCTTTAGGGGAGGTATTTTTTGCAATTCATCCAGTGCTGCTGGTTGTTGTCAGTAAATGCGTTCCCTTTAACCTACCCACCTCTCTGACACTTAGGCATATTTGTTTCCAAGTTTTCTGGCTGAAACTGAGCTCACGTGGAAGAAGGTCCTTTGAGTTGTCTGTCCAGAGCCCTACTCATACCGTGGGGAGAGGATTTCTAATCTGTTTTGAAAAGAATGTGTATCCTTTGCTGACAGTTTGAGCCTTGGACTTTGCCCTTAGATGTCATGGTGATGCTGACATTACAGTGCTAGATACTGCAATGTTCTCACTCACCTCAGGCAGTTCCCAGCTTCCTGTGTCCTTTCACCATTCTCCTTGAATACATATTCCGCATTCCTATACTGAAAATCTTTTCTGTATTTAACCCATCCATGCCAGAAGGAAGAATGCCACTTGGACCAATTTTCAGAGAAAAATAGCATTTAGCAAGCCTGCAAACAGTTTACATTAAGTTGTCCATTTCAGTAGTTTCTATGAGAGTGGAAGCAGGAACCTAAGCAACTTCATTCTGACATGATGCTCATCAGCTCCTCTTGGTTACCGCACCTTGTAAATTACAGCTTAGAGGAGAAGGAAAAAATACATCACTGAATTGCCAGCACAATGTCTTTTTTTTATGCTTCTCTTCTTCCAAATAGCCCTGCTGTTCGGTAGTGACTCCTAAAAGTCTTTCAGGAGGTAGTAATGCATATTTGTATCATTTAAAGATGAGTGAATCCCACTCTTAAATCTTCAACTCTTTCTAAATTAAAGCTTGATAGCTTTTAAAGATGCTGTACAATACGTTTAAGTCAGGTTATATATAGATAGTCTAAGAGAATACGGTGCCCTCTACACTGTACCTACAATGATCCAAGCTATTCTTTGTAGTTATTTAGGATTTTATAACCTTTTTTCAGGATATGAGTGACACTGTGTGAAAACAAATTGTGTAAAGGCACTAGTGACAGGACATTTAAGTGAAGCATGGACATTGCAATTGAAGTACAGTGTGTTAGTCAAATGATATCTGCTGAGCTGATTACCAGTAACGCTTTAATTCTGTAGCCTGTGTTGTACAGGAAATCGTAGTAGAAAAATAAATGGCCTTTCTTGCCTGTAGTGTGGGAATATATAAATGTCCTGTGCCTTGGTATTCACTTCATCTTAGGTTCTGGAATGCCCAAGAGTTGTGTATGTGCTTTCATGGCACGTCTGTTTTCTTAAGCGCACGGCAGAGCAAGAGGAGCAGTGATAGCAGGGAAGGAACTGATTTTTCTGCTAGTTTGTGATTTTTGTGCTGTGGCTTTTTTTAACAGCTGATAGCTTTAGGATGAAAAGGCTTTCAAGGTTTTGTTAGCCTTAGCGTTTCTGTGTTTTTGTTAAATAAACAAAGTGTGCATACCTAGACCTTCATATAGCGGCTCTAAAAGTCCTGCAGTGTCAGGATGCCTGTCACTGCTGCCAAGACTATTGAGTGAAGGGGAGGACTGTCAACCTGACATGCAGAATTCTAGCTTGTCTCTCTGTCTGCTCCTCTCATACTCCAGCTGGATTGGTTTGTGAACCTAACATGTCATGTTTTTCATTTTCACAATCCATGCAAACCCTAAGTAATACTACATTCCCTCTTCAGATACCTTTAGTAGCCTTCTTTCAACACACCACAGCGCCAAACCTCTGCTCTATGAATACCTTTTCAATAGATCTACTCCATGCTAGGTTGATTTTATTTTCTTACTTCTGGGAAACAACCCACTTCCCTGTTGCTGTTGAATAAGGAGTAGGACTTTTCTTCAACATGCAATACTGTGGCAATCTTTATCAGAAAAAGCTGCAGTCACTGAGCACTTTATTTTCTGAGATAGGTCCTGTACTTCTCAATAGGTACACGTGTGTGAATAACAGCAGGATTTTTCTGACGTGCTGGCAATTCTATAAAGAAAAGAAGACACGCTCAGAATGTTATCGCATTATTTTAATTACAAGTCAGGTGGAACTCTGTGTTTCCTTCATTCTTACCTTTTAAACTGTAGAAAACGTCAAAGCCAAAACAAACAAGTTCATGTGTGGTGAGACATATATACCAAGAAATTATACAGTAGTTGTTCAGCTTTTTGAAGCCTAGGCTAGGCTAGTATTTAAGCTTAAGTCCCATTACTCACAAGAAAAACAACATACATGTGGATTCTGATCCTTTGCAAAGCTACCTTAACTTCACTGTGGTTCCAGGTTAATGTAGCAGATTTTCCCCGTGGCCTCTCTTGGGGTAGGGGGCATTTTTACTGCTGATTGTCTGGCAGGGAACTGGTGTTGGTGAGGTCTTTTTAGTAGTAGTATTTTCAAAGAATTTATCCACCCTTTTAAATCATAGTCATTGCCAGTCATACAAAAGCAGTTTGTTTCTACACTGGAATCAATAAAATGGAAAATGTATTATGGCTTAGCTGGGAACGCATGCTTTTTAGCTTTTGCTGTTTTGTCTTCTGTTTAAGGATATGTATTCCTACCATTTGTATTCTATTGGTTGCATGTTAGGTCTGTGTCGTCTATAAGCTGCACAGAAAATACATGCTGTCTACAGTACAAGAATAGTTTTTTTTGTTTCAGTGTTTGCTGCTAATACAATGTGTTACATTTATCCGTTCTGGCTTCTCAAGTATTTTCCTGGTGGTAATGAGAAAGATGGTATAATTCTTCACCAAAAGGTACAGAGCTTAATTTTCGTGCAAACCAATATTCAACAGAATCATAAAGCTCTAGCCTTGGTAATAAAAATAGAAGCTAATGCTATTAATATATCGTTGCAGGTACACAGAGCACGATTATGTGGCTCCTGGGTTAAGTAAAAACTTCATGTAATCACAGTAGCCGTAGACTTAAGCCCTATAAAGTTGGAAACTTCACCAGATGGCCATTGTCAAGGCAGCTTCTGAAGACTTTAGAGCTGCAATGTGTTAGGGCTCTAGGTATGGCTTAGTCAGTGGTAGCTCTTTAAAACAGAATTACTGAACATAACTGATTCATGTTATGGAAGTAATAATAATAATACTTTGCCCTCAGTGGCCTTTTATCTGAGGACCCGAAAGCTCTTAGTCAAGGCTTTTAAATACTCCCTTTCTGCTTACAGGAAATAAAGTTTCAGAGTCTTGGTAGAGGAAATTGAGCAGTAGCACTCCTACCCCTTGGCCTATTGCAAGCAATCAGGTACAGACAGCGTCCCAGTTGCTTGGAATGGGACCTTTACTTCAAGAGTACTTTTAGTCTTGAGTAGAGCAAGCCTGTGAGTGGAAGTGCTTGCACATTAAAATACTATGTGGCAGGAACGAGAACGACATATAACGGCCCTAATCTGAAAATTCCTTTATCCGCTCTGTAAACTGTGACAATTAGGGAAATGATGTTAAGATCTGGGGAAACTAAGGCTCAGATACACCACATGTAGCTGAGGAGCTTACATGTGATGTATCATAGGCTCTACATATTCAGGGCAGACAGTTAAGACGTGCAAAGACTGGCTTCTATTTTAGGGGGAACAGTTAGGTCCCTTTTAAAAGTACCACATGTTGGCCATGAATTTACTGAGGTTTAATACTCAGCCTCAAAACTCACATAATGGTATTTATCAGTAATGGGAGTAAATAACTGTATTTGACATTTGCTTCTGTATAGTCAGTAGTTATTTTTTTTTCTTACTTTTTTCCCCCCAAGTATTTTATTGTTGATTTTCAGCGTTCAGAGATCACACCTGAAAGTTTTCTCAGTGAATGTTTTTGTTTTATCTTTTAGATTGATGTGATTGTGACTTTGGGCGGACTTGGAGGACGCTTTGACCAAATAATGGCATCAGTGGAAACGCTTTTTCATGCAACAAAAATCACGCCTTTTCCAGTGATAGTTATCCAGGACTGCTCACTGATTTACCTGCTTCAACCTGTAAGTGTTATGAAAAGTTACTTCATAAAAAACCTGACCTTCCACCTATCCTGACCCTATAGGTCCTACACCATTAAAAGCTCATTTTCTTATTTCTATTCTCTAAGGTCAGAGCCTAAATATAGAATATTTGCAGGGAAGTGGACAACAAATGATGGGCTTTGCTTTCCTGCCTTGAAAAAGATTGTGTTTAATTTTTTCAAGATAGATTTGTTTAAAAGGGGAGGAACAAGAAATCTGAAAGGTATGAAGCCTCAGTTTGGGTAAATACAGGATTTTGATTATAAATGAAAAACAAACCCCAAAACTTTTAGATTAGATTCCAGTAAGTTTAAATTTAGCACACAGCCCTTTTCCATGTTGACTAACAATAAGGATGTCTGCAGTAAGACTAATAAAAGAAAGATATGAGGAAGATGTGAGGGAGTTCCTGACAAACACATCAGGCAGAGATCTTACGTGGTCCAAGTGGTGCAGTTCATTATGATGGGAATCCAGCTAGTGTCAACGAGGGAATTCATTTAAGATGTGTTATTTTTGTGGGTTTTCAGGTCTGTTATTCCATTTATTGATTCATAACACACACAAAAGATCTTGCTGGGCTTCTCCTTTTAAGATTTAAATTAAAGGCAAATCTAAGCATCAAAGAATCTTATCTAACTGATTCATTTGTTTGAAAGTATCTTTTCCTGATGTCAGGGTTTCTCGAAGCTTAACTAACTTTCCCATTTTATCTTGGAAAGGTTATTTCATGAAAACAAATAACATTCACTGATAAATTTGACAAAACCCTGCACCACACTTCATTGTAATTTGAGAAAAGCATTAATAAGGTTCTGTGAGATTATAGATATTAATCCGCAGGGGCAGATGCTGTATTAACAACTTCGAAGCACTGTGCAGGAAAGGTGGTAGACACAGGAGCTCATTTAGCAGCAAGACGAGGAATAGCTGTGATTATTGCTTGCACAGCTAAATGGATAGAGGCAGCAGAGTGAGGGGGAAGGAGGGCTTATGAATAACTGTGGTTGAAATCTGGAAGTGAGGAGTAACTCACTTGTGATTGATATGTGGGTGCAGAACTCCATTGACCACTGTAAATTAATTTTAGGATATTTTTAAGAAGATACTGAAAAAGTAAGATGGGGAATTCCCAATTTAGCTTCCAATTCATTTGGATTGGAAAGACTTACTTCTTTTCATTCATCTTTTCCGTAAGTGGCTTTATAATGCCATGCCTAAAGTTGCTTTTAGAAGAGTCTTCAAGGAATAATTCAACCCTTTGTGACTTGACAAAAAAAATCATGATTTGTGCATTGGAATAGAAATGGGAGGTTGCTAATTGTTTGGGCTTGCTGGAAACTTCTTTATATTCTGTTTTTGATAATGCTTTAATACTTTATTGTTGATGAGGAGAGTTCCCCAGGGTATTATTTTTCCCTGCCGTTCCTGGCTGGCAGTATGCATTGCTGGTAACCGACTTCTGTAACTTCATGCTCTTTTTAGTGGACAGAAATAAGGGGCAGATAGAGGGGGCAGGCTATTTAAACAATCTTAATGCCAACTTTGACACAAAATTGCTTTTCCTTTTGGTTTAAACTTGTCACTGTCAGCGTCTTCAGTCAACTGTCATGGTACCTCCAGATACTAACATTATTCCTGCATAGTTTAGATAAAAATCAAGTATATTATACACAGAAAGAAATGAGCATCCTAAGCTTGAAAGTACTCTTTGTATGGACATTGTAATATTTTTCTCTTACAAACAGCCACAATCATGATATTCTCTCTTTTTCCTCTCTCCCTTTTGTAATTTAAAATCAAGGTAGGAGGGAGCTGAACACGTTGGGAGACCCACTGACTTTTTGAAATGCAAGTCTGGAAGCTGTGCAACAAATGAAGCAAGGTTTTGAGATTCAAACCCTAATACAAATGCTGAAGTAAAGAGCATGTTGCTTTTACTCTAAAATGTAGATCTGAAACTTTTCTCTCTTGGGGAAAGAAGGATTTGATCTTCATGGGATTCCTTGGATGAAATATATGAGCAAAATATAACCATGTTTTTGCTTCAAAGTAACATTAGCCCTCCATTTTCTATAGTGAAAGACTAGTATTAGTTCTTTATCATGTGTGCCTAGGCAGAGGCTAAAATATTTGTACAGAGCAGATAAACTGGTAATCCCATGAAAGGCCTAGGAAGGATACAAAGGAGAATAACAACTCAAGCTGCTAAAGTTTTCGATACTAATGCAGAAACTAAGATGAGGACAAGTGTGAGTAGGTATCAAAGTACACCAAAAAATCTAATAAGCAATTGCTTTGAAAGAGAGCTATTTGACATTACTGCAGTGTTGATTTAGAGGGATACAGCAGAAGAAATAGATCAATTTTTAACACACTTTTAAAGGATCCATGTTGTTGTAGGAAACAGGCTTATAATAAGACTTGCTAAAAGTATTTGGGGTGATAGAGGAAGACAGCAAGGACAGTGCCTGATTTGGGATCCATTGCAGTCTACCAACCAAGGAGGACCAGGTATAGCAAGTCTTTTTTCATCAGCCACTACAGTTACCCAAGTACAGAATGTAAGGACATGTTGAGTACTGAGGCGTCTCTTGGAAAATAGACAGACAGACAGTGCAAGTTTTTGAAACATATTGATAAAAATGTTTTGGCATGGAAAGTGAAGAAAACTAGAAGGAAGTAAACTTCTGTATTCATTTCTGACCTGTAAAGGTGGGCTATGCTGAGAGGTGGAAAAGAGAAAAAAAGTTGAGAAGTATTACACCCCGTAAATAGTTGTCTCTGGAGAAATTGGGTCGTAGGCTGGGATCTAGATAGCTAAATCATTAGTGACTGACCATGAATCCCTAAAAATATGACATTGTCCTAGTTCTCCTTGTTTAATTGCCACATATACAGCATATAATTCAGCATACTGGCTACTTTTATCTTCTCCCATAGTGACTTGGAATTTATTCTGGGATGGTTTATAGCTACAGTATCCTGGGTTCAGCTGTAACAGTTATTTTACTCCTTCTTAGTAGCTGGGGCAGTGCTGTGCTTTTGACTTTAGCCTGAGAACAATGCTGATAACACACCAGTGTTCTTAGTTGTTGCTAAGTAATGTTTGCCTCGATCAAGGGCTTTTCAGTCTCATACTGTGCCAGTCAGGAGGGGCACGGGAAGCTGGGAAGAAGCAGAGATAGGACACCTGACCCAAACTGGCCAAAGGGGTATTCCATACCAACAGCACGTCATGTCCAGTATAGAAAATGGGGAATTTGCCTGGAAGGCGAAGATTGGTACTTGGGTCACGCTGTGTATCAGTTGGCAGACGGTGAGCAATTGTATCGTCTCCCCTTGTTATTTCCCTTATTATTATTATTATTATTATTAGTAGTAGTAGTAGTAGTAGCAGCAGCAGTAGTGGTTTTGTATTATACCTTAGTTACTGGACTGCTCTTATCTCAACTTGTGGGAGTTACATTCTTTCGATTCTCCTCCCCATCCCTCTGGGACTAGGGGGGGGACGAAAGAAGGGGAGAAGCGAGTGAGCGGGTGCATAGTTCAGAGTTACCGGCTGGGCTGAAACCATGACACACAGCTTTCCAAAAACATTTCCCACTAATATATTTAGCTGACCCATCAGTAAACCAGGCATGCTTTCTCTCTTCTTCTGTCAATTGGTCTAAGGGTTTCCCCATTTGACTGATGATTCTTGTTTGCTATCCAGGTGATCTGCATTTGCTGGTTCACTTGCAGGGGCTTTGGCAACTTTCTCATGAAGAGCTGCCATTCCCCCAATCCCTCCTTTAGTTCTATCTTGCATATACCATTTCGATTTAATTATGCTAGCTTCCTGAGCATGTCCTATCCTGTGTGTCTTGGGTGAACTGTTTACCCACTGCATTACTGGAATTTCAGGCCTTAGTGCCACATCATGCCCGGCTGTCATTTGTTCTGTTTCCACTAAGGCCCAGTAACACACCATTAGCTGCTTGTTGAAGGGTGTATACCTTTGTCCAGCTTCAGGTAATTTTTGGTTCCAAAATCCTACGGGCACTTTCTTCCTACCCTGCTTCTGCCACAGACTCCAGTTGGCATAATTATCATGTAGAGAGACATTCAATTCCACCTCTCCAGCCTGTACTGGCCAGAGGTCCAGAGCCTGCTGAATTGCTTGTTTAGCTGTTTTGAATGCTTCCTGCTGCTCATTTCCCCACTCAAATTCCTATTTCTTTCGCATTACTTTATATCATTATATGACGTATTTGCCCCAAATGAGGACGTGGTGTTGCCAAAAGCCAAACCAGCCAATCGCTGAGCTTCCACTTTACTTTGTGGGATAACAAAATCTAAAATCTTCTGCTTAGCTCTGGGCAATATTTCCCAATGATCACAGTGCCACTGAATTCCTAAAAATTTTACAGTTTGGGCAGCTTTTGTGTGGATTAATTTCCCAGCCTTTTCATATGCTGCATCACTAATTCTAGTTGTTCTTGTACTTCTTGCTCAGTTTCTCCCTGAATCATTATGTCATCAATATAATGTACCATTTGTAGTTTCTTTGGCAATGACAATTTGTTCAAGTGTTCTGCCACAGTTCGGTGGCAGAGGGTGGGACTGTGGAGCCACCCTTGAGGTAAGCAGGTAAACATATATATTGCCCACCTTGCCAAGTAAAAGTGAACTGATCCCAATGTTCCTCAGCAGTGGGTATTATAAAGAAAGTATTACCTTTATCAGTTGCTGCAAACCAAGTTCCCGGGTGCTGTTGTATTTTTTCAATTAAAGTAACTGTGTCAGGTGCCACAGCTGCTAGTCGTGGGGTGTACTTGTTAAGTTCCCTATAGTCCACTGTCATTCACCATGTCCCATCACTCTTCCTAACAGGCCATATAGGATTATTAAAGGCAGTAGATGTTGGTTTTAACACTCCAATATCTAATAATAGTCTGTGAAATCTCTTCATGTCCTCCTGGTATATGGTATTGTTT